TGTGTGTATATATGCAAACTTAATTATGGTATATAGATATAGAATAATTTGGTAGATTTCGCTCCCCAGTACTTCCCCATGCCCTCTGATCCTCCCCCTTTCTTTCAATCCTCTGCCTCTACTCTACTGGTCTTGCTTTTATTTTCATGAGTTTCCTTTTTTATTCTCTCTCTCTCAAGCTTACACATATGAGAGAAATCGTTCAACCCTTAGTTTATTGAGTCTGACTTATTTCAATTAACATGATGTTCTCTAGTTCTATTCATTTATCACCAAATGCCATAATTAAATTCTTTATGGCTGAATAAAATTCCATTGTGTATATATACCACATTTTCTGTATTCATTAATTCACTGATGGACACCTAGGTTGGTTCCATAACTTGACTATTATGAATTGTGCTGCTGTAAACATTAAAGTGGCTGTATTGCTGTAGTGTGCCAATTTTAGTTCTTCTGGATAAACACCACGGATTGGGAAAGCTGGGTCATATGGTGTTTCTATTCTTAGTCTTTTGAGGGATCTCCATACTGCTTTCCAAAGTGATTGTATTAATTTTCAGTCATAATAACAATGTTTAATGAACCTTTCCTCTACATGCTTATGAGAAATTATTATTTGTATTGTTGATGGCTGACATTCTAATTGGAGTGAGATGAAATCTCAGTGTGGTTTTGATTTGTATGTCACTGATTTCTAAGAATGGTGAACATTTTTTCACTTGTTGGCCATTTGAATATCTTTGTAAAATGTCTTTTTAGATCATTTGCCTATTTATTGATTGGATTATTTGATTCTTTAGTGTTAACTTTGTTGAGTTTCTTATATATTCAGGTTATTAGACTCAAACTGAAAAAGTAGCTGGCAACTTTTTTCTCTCATTTTGTATGCTTTCTGTCCATGCCCTTAATCGTTCACTTTGCTGTCCAGAAGCCTTTTAACTTGATGTCATCCCACTTATTGATTATGAGTTTTATTTCTTGAGCTTTAGATGTCTTGTTAAGGAAGTTGGCACCTTCACCAATATGTTGAAACTGTGCAATGTAGAAAATGTTTTCTTCTAGGAGTTGCAGTGTTTCTAATTACTAGGTGTTTAATCCACTTTGAAATGATTTTTGTGCAACATGAGAGATAGTGATCTAGTTTAATTCTTCTACATATGGATATCCAGTTTTCACATCAGTATTTATTGAAAAGACTATCTTTTCTCCAACATATGGTTTTGGCCCTTCTGTCGGGGAATCTGATGATTGCATCTATGTTGATTTGCCTCTATGTCTTCTGTTCTACTCCATTCATCTCCATGTTTGCTTTTATGCCAATCTGATGGCATATAATACCTCTGTAGTAAATTTGAGATTGGGTATGGTGATGCCTCAAGCATCACTCTTATAGATCAAAAATGCTTTGGCTATTCTGGGTCTTTTACTCTTTTATAAGAATTTAAGGACTATTTTTCTAGTTCTGTGAAGAATGTCATAGGTATTTTGATGGAGATTGCATTGAATTTGTAGAATGATTTTGGCAATATGGTCATTTTGACAACATTAATTTTTGTTTATTCAAGAGTAAGGGAGATCTTTCTATTTTCTAGTGTCTCCTTCAAATTCTTTCCTCGGTAATATATAGTTTTCATTGTGGAAATCTTTCACCTCCTTGGTAAGATGTCGCGACCCCTTGCCCGCAAGGAATACGCAACTCGAGAATCTTCTTTCAACAGTTTATTCAGGTCCCTGGATATTTCTTCTTCTTTTTCTCGGGTGCCCCTCCCAGCCTTAATAAAGCATCCCAAGCCCCAATGCAAAGCTGCCGCGTGGAACTTTCTCACAGGGTGATGAAAAATCATGTGCCAACTTTCCCAGATAAGGAGTTGTTTGTCACAGACCACAGCGGAGCCAGCGTCATCTTGTAATGGCGACCATAATCTGCAGAAACGGCAGAAGCGGCTCACCACAGTTCCCCCTTTTCTGTTTTCTTAAAACAATACAGGCGAGAGTAGAGGTCCTATCCCACTGTGCAGAAGTGGCTGCATAGTATGGCTCAGTCCTAAGGAGGGCCCTTCCCCAGATCTGAGGCCATATCAGCCGACGCCTTTTTTCGTGGGGCGGGGCGTGGACGCGTCGAACCCGCATGCAATAGGACATGCTCTCCTTGAGGTCCTCTTCAAGGATCACTCAAGTGCAGTGCCTTGCCTCGCATCCTGTATCGTGACGATGGTGGACGAAGGGGGGTAGCTGAGGCTGAACTGCGACTGTTTATAAGGACAAACAAGTTGACAGCACCCTGAAAGAAAGGCACGAACTTCAAGGCGATAGAAAAGCACTAGTGTGGAAACCCATCTGCGTGCAATGGCAGTAAGACCGGCAGAGTGCAAGGGCTTTCCAACACTAAGAGAATAACAAGGAAAGTCATGTCGATCCCAGTACAATGTTATAATAACTTGGGGTGTAACGACCATGACAAAGGTTTACTGCTTAAGATGCGCAAGCCAGACTTGAGGCGAGTTGCCATTTTCTAAAGCTGCAAGAGCTTGTATGATCATAGCCTTTTCTTGTGCATGGCGAGTTTTAAGGCGACAGAGAAGCCACAAACAGAGTACAACACTGAAGCAACACATTGCACCAAAAATGCCTACTCCCACCCACTCTTTGAAGAAGGAAAAAGCAGAAGATATCCAATCGGTGAATTGACCCAAAGTCACTGGTTCGACACGGGTACTATTCAAAACAGCAATCTGAGTTAGTTGAGACTGGATCAAGTTTTCTGCTTCCATGGACCAGGTTCCGGATAGATACTCTCCGATGATGCGGGAGGCATTTCTGGAATCATTAAATCTGACAGAGGTTATGCATAAATGTGCACGTTGGTCAACACAACCCAAAAGCACCAAGTCGGCCAATTCTTCTACCTGAGCTTGGAGTAAATCTATTCTTTGGTTGGCAGCTAAAATCCCTGACAAAATATGTTGATTAATTGAATTTTGGGACTCAAGTATGGTAGAAGTTTGTTGAACAACTTGATTAATGGTGGCAGCAGTTTGTACTTGACTGGCCATGGCCACTCCGGCCGTAACCGCTGCAGCAGCAGACACTGCCACAGCTGTCACTATAGCTGCCGTAATTCCAAAATCCCTGCGGACTCTAAGTAGGTCAACAATGGGGAATTTATCTGGGTCCGCAGTGACTGGGATTGGGACAAAGGTTGGAATTTTCATAACCACTGCCATAGGCCAGGATCCATTCCAACACTAAGACAAGTAACAGGTAATATTAGAGCAATTAAGCATCCCCTGTAATGTAACATTAGCCAAAAGAAACAGGAACGGAGATTGGAGACAGACTGCTGCGGAGGGTAATGTAGCATTAAACAATTGTGAATTGTGTGAAGTAATTTTAAGTCTCCTACCTCGCTCCAAGTCTTGGGTACTGCCAGAAACATTAAACAGCCAACTTTGGACTCCTAATATTTCCCTGGGGAAACACAAGCGCGGACTAGACTAGCCCAATCTGAGGGAGTCATGCAAAATCTAGTAAGTCCCTCCACCTGAGTGAGAGTGAAAGCGGCATCTATGCCATAAGTGCGGACAGATTCTGCCAAGGTTTTAATTATCTTAAAGTCTAAAGGCTCATGATATCTTCCCCTGTTATTGTCCTGAAATACAGGGTATGCAAGTCCCATATCTGTATTAACTGTCCTCCAAACTTGTGCATGAAAAGATCTCCCGGAACCTTGGCTCCCCCCCACATACGGAGGTGGGGCAATCGGCACCATATCTTCTTCTAGATATTCTACCTCCTCCTCCTCAGAGTTTTGTTGACCGATGTTAACTCCCTTCCCCTTCTTACAGTAGGCCTGCGTGCCCTGTGTCTCCTTTTTCTTCTTTTTCATTTTTATCTTATGTAGTTGTTGTAACAATATATCAAGGTCCTCAGAACTCTCTGAGTCGCTTGTGTTCTCAGGCGTTTTTAATTCGGTCAAGTCTGGGTAGAGCCTTCTCCTATTTTTATCTTCAGGCTCTTTTGCCTTCTCACTACTGTTACTTTTAATACTCTCTGCCACTTCACTACATGATCCTTCAGATTTTTCCTCATGCAATTGCTCAAGAATAGCTTGACCCTCACTCACAGCTTCCTGGCATTTACCATCTGTAAGGCAACCACGGACCATTTTCCAAAGGGGTATCACCCCACCCTCTAATATGCCCTGCTCAGAAGCAAAGTCAAGATCTTTGCCTAATTTATCCCAACTAGGCACAGTAAGGCTGCCCGAAAATGCAAACCACGGTGCAGCGATATCTATCTTCTGTAAAAATCTCTGTAAAGTACTATGTTTCACTTCCAGTCCCTTGGAACGTAACAGGCCATCTAGGGCCAGGAGAAGCGGACTTGAAGATGCGGCACCCATGACACAACAACAAAGAAAGCACAAAAAAAAGAAAGCGAAAGTAGGAGCGAAAGTACACAGTGCAGCTGCAATAAAATGTAAGGCTCTCTCTTTCATTACAGAGGAGCTGTCCCGCTTTGGTCGCGGATCCCACTTACTAGGGACTAACCCCGCTTTGATCGCGGATCCCACTTACCTGGGACTAACCGGTGCACCACCCCTGACTGCTGAAAGTTCTGGTTCCCGGGTCTCGGCACCACTTGTCGCGACCCCTTGCCCGCAAGGAATACGCAACTCGAGAATCTTCTTTCAACAGTTTATTCAGGTCCCTGGATATTTCTTCTTCTTTTTCTCGGGTGCCCCTCCCAGCCTTAATAAAGCATCCCAAGCCCCAATGCAAAGCTGCCGCGTGGAACTTTCTCACAGGGTGATGAAAAATCATGTGCCAACTTTCCCAGATAAGGAGTTGTTTGTCACAGACCACAGCGGAGCCAGCGTCATCTTGTAATGGCGACCATAATCTGCAGAAACGGCAGAAGCGGCTCACCACAGTAAGATTTATTTTCAGGTATTTTGCTTTGTGAGGCCATTGTGCATGGAATTGTTTTTCTGATCTAAAAATAAGAACTGTTTCATGAATTTGCTCTTTATCCTTGCACAGAGGCCATTGCTAATTTCTGTGTCATTCCAATTTTAGTATATGTGCTGCTAAAACAAACACAGAAATACAGTACATTAAGTGGGGCTGCTCTCAGTGAAAAAGAATAGGGAGATGTCAAGAAATGTGTTCCTTGTTCTTGCCCTCTCATCCCATGGGATATGCTGCTTATTAGTTCTGTGCCCTTGGGCAAATTATTTCCTTTTCTGTGGTCAGTTTTCTTGTCAGAAAAGTGGGTAATGTCCCTTTACTCATAAAGTTTCTGAACAAATGAGTGTGCAATGTGGACAAGACATCCTATATATGTCCAGTGGATATTCATTAGATGTCCTTTATTTTATTTTATTTTTCCTTTCCTCATGTCTGAACCCCTAAACACCTAGATAAAGAAGAAATGTTCTGTGTTGGTCTTTAGGCCATGATCTTCTGTTATGATCTGATCAAAAGGAATATTTGAAGTATTTCTTTGGTCCGTGATGTTTTCTTAAATCAGTATTTCTCAGTAGGGATACTATTGGCATTAAGGTGAGAAAATTAATTGTGTACAGTTCTTACAAACAATTAGGTTGCTTACTCTCTAAATGTCGCCCACTAAATGCCAATAGTAAACCCATCGGTATAAGGACACCAAACAATCAGCCAAATGTCCTTACACATTTCTAGTCATTCTTTTCATTATAAATCACCATGAAATTTTTCAACATCTTTCAAGAGTCTATTTACTTATTTGTTTATTGTGATCTCACACAATGGAACAAAACATTTATAAACTACCTTTTGCAGACTAGATTTAACTTAGGATTTGTTAAAGATGAATCTTCTCTTCTTCATATATTATTATAAATAAGATTTGGTCCAGGTCAACTAGAGGGTGCATGTAAGTACCATCATCCCTTTCAGTTACTGATGTTTAATTAGCTTTAAGAATTAAAAATAATAATAATTTAAACATCATTCCACCTATTCCTGCAAGACAGCTGCAACTCCAACTATCTCTTACAAGGTGCATGTCACCTGTACACTAGAAGCTACAAACCAGAAACTGGGTTTACACTGTCTATAAGCATCTTTAGACAAAATACCAGAATTTACCCATTAGGTTTTCTGATTAAGGAATAACTAGAAACCTTTTAAAATTATATGGAAGCTAACTTTCACTTTCTCCCAAACTAAAATAACCCTGAATTTTGTTTTATTTAAAGAATAACTGCATTTTTCTTTTATACTGAGTCTCTCAATTTCTGCAATTAGAAGTTGGAATATACTCAGCCTTTGACTCTTCAGATTAAGTTGTTATTTTCTTTTAAGGCTTCCATTCCCACCTAAAGTACCTCCCATGTCCTTCTGTTTTAAAATCTATGTGGTCTGTTTTATTATTGGCTAATTTTCTATTTCTATTTGTTAGCCACCTTTATTTCTCAGCTGTTTTTGTAGAGCAGATGACTGATAAGCATTTTGAAAACAATGAATAAGCACAACTTCTTGACTCAGTTTATCAACCCCATCACCTCTGTAACTTCAGTTTATCAACACCTATTTGTTGTTATCTCTGAAAAAAACAAATAGGCCCTTGTAAGGAGCATCTGCCATAGATATGCTGAGACATGCTGGGAATCGTTGAGTTGATGGACATAAGGAACAGCAGCCATTGAACTGCTTAGTCATGTCTGCTTGCAATTGAGAAAGAGCTGTAAAGGGCACTAGCCCTAAGCATGCTTAGGGATGCCTTGTTACAGTTGATAGGGAGCACAGTTCCATGGACATGTATAAAGAACAAGCGCAACTGTAATCATATCAACTCATAGACATAACCAATGGACATTGACTTTCACTGGGTGTAATCAGTCAACAATGTACACCACCACTGGAACTGTATTTAATTGCTGGTCCTGCCACATTGAAGACTTTGTGCTCCAAGGACATTGATGAGACTGGCCACCTTATTGTCTGTCCCTGGACTGACTTCATCATTCCTTGGTATCCAGCCATCAGCTGGAGAGAAACTCCAGATAAGGACAATGTCTGCTGTTTAGCTAAGAATAGTTGCTGTGTGGCATCAGAGATATTTTGGGGCTTGTGGCTGCGCTAGGATAATGTGATTTGCTTATAGTGTTTAATTATTGTGCATTGAATGTTAGTTGGGATGCTCCCGCACACCCAACACTTTTTGCATTGTTTATATTTGATGATTGGTGTGATTGAATATAGGCTTGCACTTAAAGACAATCCGCCTCTGAGTTATTATTAATAGCACTGCTCATAACAGCCCTGTCCCCCAGGTACTTGGCATTCCTGAACTGAACTTTTCATGTTGGGGTTACCATACATTTTCATATAATCTCATTATCATAACTGACATTTTTACCTATGCAATGTGGGTAGTAGGTGTGTGGAAACTTTATCATGCCTACACTTGACAAGGGAATCCATCCCTCTCTCACGTTACTGCAAATCAGAAGACTATGCTGTCAGTCACACTATGGAGAAGTAGCATGGCTACAGCCCAATGGCCTGAGGCAACCACTAAGCAGCTGTCAGAGACAACCACAAATACTTAGTTTGTCCTTTTGGTGCCAGTGACTGATTTTTGATCTGGCTTCTCAACAACAATAACAAAAAGCCACTGAGAGTTTTTCCATAGAGCTCCAAACCTCCAAAATGAATCCCTGCAGACTCAAGTAGAATGAGTCCCTCTACCAAACAGACAGAAAATGAGGAAGCCATACAGCTGATGTGTCATTCCAGCAATTCTATTCCAGAAAATGGCATCTTTATCTTCATCATGTGACTCCCTACATCCTGAGGAAAAAGATAGGCACTATTATTGAGATAAAGGAATATGAACATAAACGTACACACATATACACAAATCATAAGCACATAGAATATAATACTGTGTAGCTGAAGTAGATACATCTCTATTAAAGATCTGTTTGACCTTGGCTGACTAGAAAATCATGATTGTCAAGAGATGGAATGTTGGAGGTCAAGAGCTAAAATTATCTTGTGCTGTTTTAGCCCCTTAATAGTCATTTACTTTCAACCTCTGTATCTGACCTTACATTCCTGTGACTATTATGTAAACCTCTCAGGATGTAACACTAAGCTTAGCAAACCTCTTGTTTCTCCCAACACTAAAGCCAACAATGCTAGAAGATAAACATCTTAAACGAATGGAAAATATTTCTCCATTTGGGGGTAGCTTACTGATCCTAATGTCCTCACGGATGTGTTTTTTGAATGCTTGTTTATAATTTTCTTTGTTCTTTGGCTTCAACAGCTCATGTTTCCTCTTTCACAAAATAGAACATATTATTCAGAGTAACTTGAACCTGTGTTCCTGGCCCATCGTCACTCATATTTGGCTCAAAATGTTGTTATTTCCTTTAAAGCAGAGTTATTGGAAGTCAACGTTTCGGTTGCAAAGTGAGGTCATGGATTTTTAGGTGAAAACTCCTACATTAATGCACCTTCCAAGGACTTAAGGAGTTTCAGAAACTTTCACCAAGAATTCAAAGGCAGGCCTGGGAAGTCATGGAATGTGTTATCAGGGTCAAAGTTTCCATTGGCAACCCCTGAGAGGGCCATGTGTGAAGCTGTGAAGACAAAGCCAAAGATGAAATGGAGACTCCAGGAAGTAGAAGACCGCTGGTTACCAATGACGACAGTTCTGTTTTTCCGGCTGTTGAAGATTGAACACCATAGAAATGTCCAGGCAAGTGTAGAAAGCAAGTTTTATTTAAAGAATAGAAAACAGACTTCTCCCCAGAGAAAGGGACACAGGGTTGGTATCCAAAGAAGTGGGAGTTTCCTGCTCCTTTTACGAATTTTAGGTTCTCTTTGTTCTCCTGCCCTCTTCTCTCCTTACCTTGCCCCTTTCCTGTCCTCATCCTGAGTGTGTGAGCAGTGGCTGGGGTGGCCAAAAGGTGAGGAATCAATGAGCAGGGGAAGGGTCAAATGGTGGAGTGATCCAGGCAGGAAACTAACAACCCAGGAGGTATTAGCTAACAACTTTTACAACTCCCTGCCTTCCTGAGGCAGGTTACCTTAGCAACAGGTTGGAAGTGGAGCAGGGGGAAGGGCTTTAGAGGGAGAGGGAAAGGGCAGCATTTCATTTTTTTTTTTTAATTTTTTTTGCAACCAGCCCCCACCTTCCCAATCGGACACAATTATTTATTATCTATATTGACTGTCTCTTTGTCCCCTGACTTCCACAGGAATGTGGAATATCTGTGTAGGAAAGTGGCAGGCTGTGAACACAACCAGCCTAAGAGAGAGGCCATATAGGCTGTAACCAGCAAGGCCTTAGGGGCACTGATGCTCAAGCCTTTTGGGGACTCACATCACACCACTGCATTCCCCAGGTGTTGACTATGGAGTTACAGGACTTAATATTTGCCCAGCATGATTTTAGTCTTGCTTTGGTCCCAATTCTTTTGTGTCCCTGTCCCTCCCTTTTGGAAAGGGAAAGTTTACTCTGTCCCATTGTATATGAGATGTATATAATTTGCTTTTGATTTTTACAAGTGCTCACAACTAAGAATTTGCCTTGAGGCCCAGAAGAGACTCCATAATGTACTTCTGGGCAATAGTGGAACTATTAATTCTGCAGAGACAAATGGAAATGGACTAAGTGCATTTTGCCTGTTGGGGATGAGCGTTTGGGAGTCAGGGAAGAATGGTATGCTTTGGATCTGGAATGTCCTCCAAGGTCTTACATGCTCAGTGGTGGAGCTTTTGGGAAGTGATTAGATCATGAGGTCTCTGACCTCATCTTTGGATCAGTCCACTGATAGCTGAATGGATTACTGGGTGGTGGGACTTATTTGGAGGAAGTATGTCATTTGGGATGTGCCCTGTAAGAGTTAATCATCTCCTCTGTCTCCCCACCCATCCCCCAACCACACACACACACACCAGGCTTCCTGGCTGCCCTGTGCTGAGAAGCTTTCCTCAGCCTGCACCTTTTCACCATGCTATTTCTACTTTGGCATCAGCTGAGCATGGACTGAATCCTCTGAAGTAAAATAAATCATTCTTTCTCTAAGTTGTTCTTGTTGAGT